ATTTAAAAGACGTGTAGATGAGGCGCTGAGGGACATGGTTTAGTGGGCACGGGTGTGTTGGGTTGACGGTTGGACTCGATCTTGGAGGTCTCTTCCAACCTTAATGATTCTATGATTCTACCCGGACGCACAACGCGGAGAGCAGCGCACCGGGGCCGATGAAGAACCGGGCGAAGCTCGATGGCGCAGCCGAAAACCCCGCGGTGGCGGCTCGGATGGGGAGCAGAGTGGGTCCTTTTAAATGGTTTTAATATTTGGAGGAGCAAAGCCTGGAGAGACGAACGCAGCTGCACGGCCCCGGGGGGATTGGACCCAGGGCGCCGCAGGTGAACGCTTGCTCATCAGCAGACCGTACGTTTCCTGCTCCGTACGGGCACGGCTGGGCTCTGCGTCTTGCACCAAGCTCGTGCACACCCAGGTAAGGGGAAAAACAAGCAAACAAACAAAAAAAACACCTCATTTGCAGGGTGTTGGTGAAGGCTCGGCAGTGCGGAGCGGTCGGTGGGAGAGCACGAGGAGCGAGCAACACCGGCAGCGAGACAGGCAGCGAGGCAGTGACACGATCTGTCCAGGAACTGGGGCAAACCTCCTCCTTGCACCAGGCGACGCGCAGAAACACCCGCGAGCGGGTGGCAGCACTGGGGCCTGCAGGGACGCTTGTTTCTGGTGCCCAAGCAGCAGGCACAGGTTTTCTACCTCCTCGCCAACATCCGTGAGCGTCAAGACAACTGGCGACCTGCACGAGCCACCACCATGAATCCCCGTCGGACAAGTCGGCAACACACAAGCAGCTTGGGTCACTTGGGGTGGGTCAGACTGCCTCGTTGGCAGCTGCAGGTTGGCTTGGAGGACCCGAGCGGTATCTACGTGGAGGTACCTGCAGTAAAAATGTCGAGACTGGCCTGGACGGAGGATGAGCAGGAAGGTCTGGCTGTGGAAGCGGCAGAAGGCAGGAGAAGGGACGGCAAAACAGCTGGTGAGGCACCATGGTCAGCAGATCTTCAAGCTCTCGGCTCATGTCTACCACCAGCTAGTTGGGACACCAGGGTTGAGAGACAACAGCCGGAGAGCGAATCCTCGTAACTCACAGAGAAGGGGGATGGGATGGAGTGAAAAATCGCCGACATCTCCTAAGAGGGACAAAAGGGCACATCCAAAACCGATACACGGTCACCAGCCTAAGAAAAGCCCGTGAGACGTGATAAGGAGGCAATAGCTGCAGTCCCTCGTCCTCAGTGTCATCGCAAGGAAACCCGGCTGGACCACCCGGGCACGAGTGTCTTGGCGCTTGTGAGCTGGGGGGGTTGCGATGGTGTGACCGCCAGAGCAAAATCAATTTTATTTAAAAACAAAATGACTTCCTTTCCCGTAAGGTCTCCCAATGAGCTCTGACAACACTGCAACATTATTTCCTACCTACTCAGACGCTTCTGCTTACCCTGACGGCTGCATCTCAGCCACGTCCTACGAGACGAAGGCACGAGGTCTTCTCCTCCGCGGCTGCAGGACCAGGAGTATTTGCAGGGCCCCCGGCAAGCGCCGGTGCCGAGGGTGGAAGAGGTGGCGTAACAGGACAGCGCCGAAGCGGTGCGCCGGGCTGCCAGGCTCCGCTCCAAGCTGCCTTCAGCGCCACGTGGCACAGAGCCCGGCTCCCGGGCTTCCTCCCCAGGGACCAGGCGCCCACACCGTCTCTCCATGCGAGACGTCTGCTGGGAACGCGACAGGGCTTCGCATCACACGCAGTCGAGCGCTGCCGAGCTCTCCCCAGCATTTTGCAGCATACTCCCGCGGACACAAAGGTGTCCTTGACCCCTTGCTCCTACCTTGCAGCAAGTGAGCAACAGCAAAAACAGCCAGAAAGACAGCAAGGGCTCTTCCCCGGGCTAATTTTGCAGACATAAAGCTGAATCCACGTTCCTTTTCTAAGGTCCTTTTGTACCTGATCATCTGTGATGACAACCACCCGTTTGTTTCCATGCACGTTTTTGTTGCCTGAGGGGCAGATTTAAAAGAAGGGTAAATAAAAGACAGTGCTGGAGGTGTGCCATTACGTCTCGCTTTTGGACCGCAGCGCAGCGCCCGAGCTCCCCGTCCCAGGCGGACGGGCCCTCTGCTACTCGTCCAGAAGCCTTCAGAAATCAATACAGCACCTTCAAAACAATGCAGATTCCCTTTTGTGTTTTCGAGGTGTTTGCCGTGGCCAGGAAAGCTAGCGACAGACATTTGAAAACGTTCTCACTTGCCTTCTCATGAAAGCTTCGACTCACAAGCAATCTGAGCTCGTTAGCAGGGATACTGGGAGGAGAACAGCTATTTCATGGTTTGCTACAATGATGAAAAATGGGAATGAAGCGGCCGCTTGCATTTACCAGGCTGCAGTATTGCTGTAGGGAGGCCAGGGCCGGATTTATAGATGCATTCAGGATCTTGAGAGGAATAAAGCCACTTCCTCGCCTGCCCAGGGGCTGATACAGCTCCCACTACCCCGCACCGTTAGCGCGTTCCAGCATTAATGCATTTTTCCTCCCTGGTGGAGAAAAATCTCCTTCACAGCTGGAGAAACAAGACAGGGGAAGACTGGCAAAAAGCAGGTCTTTGCAGGCACGTTTGGAAGAGTCTTAAGATGCTTCTCCCCCTCTTGTAAGCCATCAGCCCCCTCCCGCAGCCCCCACAAATTATTCTTGTGAGCGCGCTGCCTCTCCTCGTGCAATGCGAGCCGGCAGAGGGGAGGAGGCCCTAAGCCCGCTGTAAAGGCTGTTGAACTCGAGAGGAGCGCGGCACCGTTGTCGCTCTGGCTTAGGATCGTCGCGGCAAATCCTGCTCCGGGGACCGTGGGGTGGGAGTTTCTCACTCAAACAGAGCTCAGCAGCGTCTTAAACCCACCCGGGAGCACGTGGGTCGTGCATCAAACCATGACGTGAGCACCACAGCTGGGGCAGAGCAAAACCTAGCTCGCTCGCTCAGCGATAGGCCTGTCTGATTTTTCGCATCTGCTATCACCAAAACCGCAGAGTCCCGTCGTTTTTTACGTCTTGACATTACATACAGACAGGGGCGTGCCATGTTTCTATGCAAAACCAAATTTATAATTCTAGATGGATACAAATAGACCAAACGGCTACAGTAGCTCTTACCTTTATGTATATTCCAGGCTGTTAGAGACTTACTGGCTACATTAAATATTAAACCATTTTCCTACCCACTTCAAAGAGCAGGATTTTTTTTTTTCAAGTTCATTGGTGGTGAGACGTGCCAAGCAAGGCTGTCTGGAATAACAAATACCTCTTTTTCAGTCTGATCCAAAGACCCCTGATGTCACTGCAAGGCTGAGGTCTTTGTATTGATTTCAGCAGGCTTTGGGATCAGGCTTGGGCCACAAAAAGGAGGTAAGAGGTTGATGCAGCTCGAACGTTCCCTGCGCTTGTCCTCCGCAGCTCAAACCTGAGGAAGGAAGAGTCGCCAAGGGCTCGCTTACACTGCACCGCACTCGGCCTCTCTCAGGGGCTATCGAAAGAGGTGGCCACTTAAAGCAGCTTACGAGATTAGTGGAGAGCAGGTTCATTAAGGGCTATAAAAACCAATGATCCAGGCGTATCTTCTCCTTCAGGATGTCCACTGTATGGGAACATCCCAGCAAGAGCTAGGCAGGCTCCAGGGGGTTCAAGCCACGCAGGTCCCCAGAGGTCATCTAGCAGTGGCCCGTGAGGCACCGTCCTTGGATGGTTATACTTCAGGGAGCTGCAGCCTCAGTTGTTTGGACGTGCTGGGTGCTGCACAAGAAGAGGTGAAGTTCAGCCCTGAAATTTGGAAGTGAAAGAAGAGCAGCCTTGAATTTACAAGGATGGGGTCAGTACAGGAGTGTAGATAGCCCAGACCCATCACGTCCATTATCTTTTTGAGATAATCCTATTTAAAATATGTTGTCTCCTAAACATATTTCTCAAGTGTCAAGCTTGGTTTCTCTGCTAAATCCTTGGGCAAAAATTCCATCATTTTAAACAGGTGTTTGCCTAAACCTGAACAGTTGTTAAGTGATAACGTACCACGCTGAAATGAAACAGGCTTCTCTTTTTCCCATTGCGTCTCACGTGCTTACATTTGTTTCCTGGAAAACCTGGATGACATCCGGCTTCCTCGCGAGCTGCTGTGCCAGCGTGCCCGTGCCATCCGGGGCGTCCCGCAGCCCGGCGCGGAGCAGGATCCGTGCGGCGGCTGCCTGCTGCCCCGCGCACGCTGCGTGCAGGGCTGTGGGGGAGACAAGATGTCAAGACAGGAGCTGAGATTGCCCGGCAGGTTTGGCCTCAGCCCGCTTCAAATGCGAACATCGGATTCCCAGTGAAGGAAACCGAGTGAGCGGAGGGAACGCATCGAGGGTGAAAGATTACTTTTCCCAGTTGCAACACGCAGCCAAGCAGCCGTGTGATGGCGCAGCAGGGCTCAGCTGCCGCGGCTGTGCAGATCTACAGCAGCGATGGGATGACTAAACCTGCACAAGCAGGGGACACGTCCTCTTCCACATCCAGCCATGCTGGTAGAAAAACGATCAGCCCGGCTTACCCCAGCTATTACCCCCCATCTTCCCCTCACAGGTTACTAGTCCCTCCAACCCACTGAGCGGTACTAGCCTGGCTGAGCCAAAGCCAACCAGGCTTGCAAACACAGTGGGAGTATTTAAGTCAACTTGGTGCATTTTGACTGAATCATGGGCAGAGGGTGCCCACGGCAGGAGGGGGAGGCTGTGGGACAGAGCAGAAGGCCTCCGGGCTTCTTATTGCTCTGTGTTTGGGGTGGGTTTAACAGTGACGTGCAAGAGAGGGGCTTGAAACTACTCTGGATGCGACCGGGGTCCTTTATGGGCTGGGGCTCCCCGCCAGCTCACTCCAGGGTCAGGGAGTAAATCAGAAAGGTTTCCATGCACTGCGTGCAGCAAAGAGCATCCCACAGGAGGAGGCTGAAATACCCAGCCGAAGCCCCAGCTCATCCCACAAACCCGTCCGACAGCCGGCGCGCTGATCCAGCGCGGCTCCAGCACAGTCAGGCAGTCCTGCTACACTTGGCTTGTGCAGCGGGGTGGGCCAGCCTTCTTCTCCCGGCCTAATCCTGCACAGGGGTGAGTATCTTTTACGCTGAGGATCATTAGCTCCTGCTGCAGGCTGATGGTGACCATGAGGCATCCTGATCCCCATGGATAATCCATGCAGGACATTTTGCAGGAGCAGAGTCTGAGTGAGACGCTCCCCAGGACACAGTGACGCTAACACAGCAAAGGTGCCAGGGAACGGGGCAGCCGACGGGCGCGAGGAGCCACCATAAACGTCCCAGGGTTGGACGAGTTCAGCGGAGCTCAAATTTACTCACTGAGGGCGTGGAGGGAGAGATTGAGAGATACAAGACTGTTCATGCTCGCCGCTGAAGCGTGTTATTAAGCAAACCTGAAGACTGGGTAAGTTGCTAATTTTGGCAATGGCTGAAAGCATTTATACATGCTTTTTTTGAGAGATGCTGATGCAAGAGATGCCTCATACTCTTACATTGGGAATGCCAACTCACTGGCATTACTATAGCAACTATATTTACGTTCAAGCTCTCTGTTATTTGCTCATAAGCTATTCCTAGGCAGTTTGCTAAGGAACCGAGGCTTAAGAGCTTGTGCAATCGTTGTATTTGTCTACCCACCCTAACCGTTTTGAATTGGCTAATTTCAACCAAATGTGATGGCGAGGTGGTGGTATCAAATATACTAAGCTCCTGAAAGTTTCATGCAAAATAAGCAGCTGGGTAAAAAGAAACACCAGTTAGCATCTCTGTTCTTCCCCCAGGGGAAAGGCCCCAGTGGAGGCTCAACCACGCCATTAGACATCAGAAAGTCCAGCAGGAAGAGAGCCACTGAACGAAAGCTGCAAAAGAAACCTACACGTCACGCTGCTCCAAGAGCCGTTTACATACGTGCATCTGGCATCCCCTTGCACGCTCCGCCGAGCAGACGCAGCGCGGGCTGCTTTGGAGGCTGGGCTCCTGTTACTAAAGCGCGCTCTCGCTGTCATACAGAGGGTTAACAAATAGCTCGGCAGCCTTACCGGAACGGCTCTTCCCATCCTTTGCGTGGACATCAGCGCCGAGGGACAGCAGCATCTGGATGGTGTGCGCGTGTCCTTCCTGCAGTGGTGAGGACAGGCACGTGGATTATTTATTCTGAACCAGTTCCGCATAATTTCTCACCTTTGCATTTAGCAGAAATAACACAGGCCTGAAAAGAAAGGAGGCCGCAAGCGATCTGTCCCTAACTGCACACGGCACCTGGAAGGGCACAGACACAGATCCACTCTGTCATGGTCAAATCTGGGGCTACCAGGAGCTGCTCCAGGCTCCAGAGGGCCTTACAGCGGCTGGAAATCAGGGTCGGCTGCCTGTGGCAGTGCAGGTCGGGTCCATTAGCCAGGGTTCGCCCAGGCACAGCAGACACACTGCCATTACCCTACAAGAATCGTTCACAGAGATGCCACTGGGCATCCAGCCCTCCCGCTGGCAGCCCGTGAGAGGAGTCAGAGCTTGGCCCTCGGTCAGCATCTCTGCACGCCTCACGTGCCCCTGGCAGCAATTTCGACCCAGAGGCTGAAAAAGCAGCAAGAGGCATCCCAGGAGCATAATTCTCTCTGTGAACATCTAACCCAATGCTTTAAAATCAAAAGTGTTCAATTAAGACCAATAGTGCTTAAAATCACGCTGCAGTGCAGAGCTGTCTCTGGTGGTGGTGGTATGGCCGAAGACTGAGAGCGGTGCCTCGGCAGGGCAGGTGTGACAGACACACAACCCTGTCCAGGTCCAGGCAGGTGGATCTGCTTTGGACAACTGTAGATCCCGTATGATCTTCCCGATCGTGGTCAACAGATCCACCTTGCACAGCCAGGACCTTGAGATGTGAGGAATTTGGAGGACTGTCTCCCAGCGCGGCTCTGCCTTTGCCAGTGGCTGTGGAGGAGTTAATGCACAACCAACCTCTGACAACTGGGTGACACAACCTAAAGACATTTCTTAATAGCAAATTAGTGCACTAATTTGTCAACCGATCTTGCGTTTGCCTCTCCAGTCCTCGCCTTCAATCAAGTAACTCGATTAAATTGCTTTTAACTTCAGCTGGCCACAGAGCTGTAGGATCCCTGACTTACCTTTCATAATTGGCAGCTGGCTGTTAAAAGGACTAAATGTCAGCAAAAAGCCGTGTGATTTCCCACACTGTAAATCCACTCCAAGTACCACAGGGATCTAGAGTTGCTCTTACTGAAGTGTATTTCAGGTCAGAGAGCAGAACCTGTTGCTGATGTGGCCTGTTGCGCATCTGCCCGCAGTACCCTCAGGCACCGGCATTTCCTAAAGGATTACTCCAGTATTTGTAGTGCCCTGTGAGAAGGCGCAGAACGCCACGCTTACACACCGTCACAACCCACAGCGTCCTCTATCTTTCCTCTGCTGGTAGCCAATTTTAAACGCTGCAGGGGAAAATGCAATACAGCCCCCACACCCCTCCTCTCTGCCCAAGCTTCTCCGTAAATAAATCCTCTCTCCCTAAATAACACGCCTGATTTTGTAATTACTTCTTCAATGCAGTGAATTACTCTTTGTCGTGCGGCATGAAAATGGAAGGCCCTTATTTTCATCCCCACCTCCCACTCTTTTCCCCCATTATCGTGTGACTCAGTAACATGTTCCCCCCTGCTCAAGGCTCCCATTTCCCTGCTGCATGCACACCCCCTCTCAGTGGCAAAGACAGCAAGCCAGGAACTGCTTTAAGTGCCACAGCCTTGGCAGCAAATTGAGTTGATTTGATTTTCATGTATTTATAAATGCAAAGTAATAAGAAAAGAAGAAAAAAAAACCACCAGCCAAACAAATGATGCTGTAAATATGAAGTGACACTGAGCCTCGGGAAGGAGGAGAAACCCATCAAATCGCTCCCCAATCAGCCGCTCGCCAAGACAGGGCTGGGATCTTCTCCAAGGCACATTATATTCCCCAATAGCCTTGCTGTTAAACGTACCCTTGGCAACCACAAGGGCTTTCAACATGGTTTCTCAGAGCATGAGGAAGGGAAGCTGGGAGAAAGGCCTCCTTTGTGGGAGCCAGCAAATGCCACGGCTGGGTCCTGCTGGAGGAGAATACTGTTGCCAGCACTCCCAGTAAGTGTCATTGATGCTTTTGTAGGAGCAGGGCGCTGGGATGCTGCTTCGTTCCCACTACAAGTCTAGACCAGGCTCTGAGTGCTGCATGTTAAAGCTCATGAGGTTTAACATGCAGGGATCTGAGCAGGAACTTCCCCTTGCTGCCAGCTACCAGCATGCTGCACACTGTGGTGCAACAGCACCAAGCAGAAGGGAGGCAGCAGGGTCCCAGGAGGGATGTCGGTCAGCGGTGAGGCTTTTGGGATCTGTTCTGCGCTCCCAGGGAGCGTTGCAGGACCCACAGCCCACCAGGCCCCGCTTCCCGCACAGGCGTGAGATGGGAGGAGGTTTTGAGCTTTCTGCTCAAACGACTCTCACTGCCTGGAATTCAAAACAGCTCCTGTGTGAAGGACACAGATAAGCACCCGGGAGCTCCCTCCGCCTTTCCACCTCTCCTTTCTCACATCTGACCATGGGCAGGCCAGAATCCGGCCTACTGGGACAAAGAGTTGCTGTTTCACAGCGCATCAGCCATCTTCTGTCCAGCAAGCTGCTGACATGGAGACTGGCCACTGACCAGTCATGACCCAAACTGCCAGGGCTGAAGAAAGACAGAGAAATAAATCTGAGCAGCGTTTCATCCACGTCTCCTCTGCCAAGTGAGTGGGAAGACGCTGGTCAAGAACTGTCACAGCTCATGAACTGTTGGTACCTACAGCTCCCAATAACTAGCAGGGTGGACTCCCTTCAGGTATTGCACTTTGGTCCAAAGGCAGCAGACTGGAAGAGTGAGGCTCACCAGAGGTGTGGGTCAAGCCTTATCCACAGCACGGCCAACTGGATGCGTGGCAAAGTGGTCAACATCTAAACTAGCCTGTTTTAGATCCCTGCCTGTAGCACACCAACCGGCAAAGACTTTGTAGAGGAAGCCTGGGAAAAGGAACAAACCTTGGCTGCGTAGTGCAGTGCTGTGAGTTGGAGGGCCGCCGCTCTCTCGTTGACATCAACACCCAGCTCGGAGACGAGGAACTGGATGGCTTCATCCTGGGCCGTGACGGCTGCCCGGTGCAGAGGCTGAGCGCCTAGCGCGTCCACGGCTGTAGGACAGGCCTGGAATTGGGGAGGAGGGAAAGGGAAAGCAATGAACAGCCTGGCCAAACCTTCAAGGACAATCACCAGCCCAAGCAGAATCATGTCTGCCTGCCACGGCCATGGTGATGGCAATGAACACGTGGGATGTCACCAGCAGGACCAGTGCAGTTGGTAGCACCATGATTTGCAGACCAGAGCAAGCTCTCTGCTGAGCTTGTTAAGTGATAAGCAAAACTAGTGCCAAAAAAAGAAGAATCAAGCCCCCTGTCTCTTCAGCTGGAACATATATGATGGGTTTCAACCCTTTAAAGCAGCAAGAAACAACCCACATCCAACCTTTGTGCTGGTGGAGTACAACTTGGACACAGGTAGAGGGAGGGAGATGGGTTGATGACCATGAGATCTCTTCTGTGAGTCTCTGAACGTGAACCGCAAAGACGTAAAATCTTTACCCAAGAAGGGTAACGGAAGTAATGCACAGTGCACTCTTCTTAAAAGATATAATCCAGACTCTTGAAGTCTAGTGGGCCTGACTCACGGTTTTATAAAACCTAGAAGGTAGCAACACTGCCATTAGCGTTTCCAGTGCTGCTTCATGGCAGTAAGCCAGGGCACCACAACAAGGAAATTAAATCAACTAGTCCATCTTCACTGCCTGAAATGTGAGACTAAAAACATAAGCAAACTTCACAAATGTTTTATCCTGTAAGGGCCAGATGAGCGAGGACAAGCACATGAACGCCTCCTGAAGTCAACAAGTATCTACGCACTCAAACACAACCTGGGCATCAAACCATCTCTGCCAGGTGAGGTTGCGTGTTACGGCTGAGTAAGTCCAAAGCCTGTGATCTTGAAGAGTGTGGTACCACTTTCCCTGGCCCGCTCTGTGCCATGCTGGGGGCTCAGCTGGCCAGTTCAACCTGCCAGCGTGGCACAAACAGGTTCACTGGTTTTGCCATGCTAGCTTTCTGCCAGGCCAGTGAGGTGCATCGGTTCGGCACAGTGTCCAACGAACACCGGAGCTGGGGCAGGGGAGAGGCAAAGTAGGTGAGAAGGGAGGCAACAACCCCACCTCCGGGAGAATCAGCCATTAGGTGGGCTCCAACCATCTCACATCAGTTCAGCAGTCAATAAATAATGCAGTGGTCTGGTTCCTGCTACGCACAATTGGCTCTAATGACATCCCTGTTATGCCTTGTATGTGGCAGGAAATCGGAGCTGACTGGGAGACAACATGGGAGCAGCAGCTGCCACGAGAGAAGGAGGCCAGAGATGAGCTGCTGCCGGCGCAGCCAGAAGCCTCCGGCTTATA